AAAAAAAAAAAAAAAATGTAACCGCTAACCAGCATACACTAATCATTATGCTCCTCCAGTGGATGTACAAGTAGTTTTAAGAGTTTGACTTCTATGTTCAGGTGAGTAGTTTTTTGCCTTTATCTTCGCAGAATCTTTTCAGCTCTCTTTCAAAAAACTCTAATAGTGGCAGCACAGGTTCCACCACAACAAATGACCTCTTTTCCCTGATCTTCTCCTCACATGCACCAAACAACTTTAAAATGCTGCTATTCTTATGACTGAAGTCTGTTAAAATTCCAAAAAAGAGCTCCGCATTTACTCTACTTTCAAATGGAATGAAGGATCTCTTTGTGGTGTAACCCCACTCCAGTACAACCCCTTCATATATTTTCCCAGCTTTCTTGAATTCTGTCACTTCAATGGAAAACTGAGAATCCAGAACAAACAAGTTAACATTTTATCAAGGTGAATAAAACAAAAGAAATTCAAAATTTTACCTTTATTCCTCCAGTGACATACAACATTGCACTATCTTCAGTGTCTGGGGTTGTTGAAGGGTCAATTTCTTTTGTAGGTTCAATTTCTTTTGTAGAACAGGAAGTGAAAGGATCACTAGCTCTGTCATAACTCCCAGCAGGTGCAATCTCAGAAGGAGAGGAAGTTAATCCATCAACGGTTGGCCCATCGTAGCTCTCAGTGTGTGTAGGAATGGAAGTTGATAAATCACCATCCAAGCTTGAAGATCTTTCGGGGCAGCTCTCGTTCCCCTTCTTACACTCTTCAGCACTTTCTTGACTTGTAGGATCCTCAAATGATAGATGACTCCCCTCCCCGTGCTTATCCCACAAGTGGTATGAAGAAATGAAACCATTGTCCAGTAAATGTTCATGCACATTTTCCCTTGACAAAGGCACTGAATTCATGCATTTTGTACAAGGGCAGGGAATTTTGTTTCCCTAACAAAATGCATGAATTCAGTGCTTGTACAAAATCCTAACAAAATTCCCTGCCCTTGTACAAAATGCATGAATTCAGTGCTTTTGTCAAGGGAAAATGTGCATGAACATTTACTGGACAATGGTTTCATTTCTTCATACCACTTGTGGGATAATCACGGGGAGGGGAGTCGTCTATCATTTGAGGATCCTACAAGTCAAGAAAGTGCTGAAGAGTGTAAGAAGGGGAACGAGAGCTGCCCGAAAGATCTTCAAGCTTGGATGGTGATTTATCAACTTCCATTCCTACACACACTGAGAGCTATGATGGGCCTACCATTGATGGATTAACTTCCTCTCCTTCTGAGATTGCATCTGCTGGGAGTTATGACGGAGCTAGTGATCCTTTCACTTCCTGTTCTACAAAAGAAATTGACCCTTCAACAACCCCAGACATTGAAGATGGTGCAATGTTGTATGTCACTGGAGGAATAAAGGTAAAATTTTGAATTTCTTTTGTTTTATTCACCTTGATAAAATGTTAACTTGTTTGTTCTGGATTCTCAGTTTTCCATTGAAGTGACAGAATTCAAGAAAACTGGGAAAATATATGAAGGGGTTGTACTGGAGTGGGGTTACACCACAAAGAGGTCCTTCATTCCATTTGAAAGTAGAGTAAATGCGGAGCTCTTTTTTGGAATTTTAACAGACTTCAGTCATAAGCATAGCAGCATTTTAAAGTTGTTTGGCGCATGTGAGGAGAAGATCCGGGAAAAGAGGTCATTTGTTGTGGTGGAACCTGTGCTGCCACTATTAGAGTTTTTTGAAAGAGAGCTGAAAAGATTCTGCGAAGATAAAGGCAAAAAAAGAAGGGAATTAGAAAATATTGATAAAGCAGAATGGAAAAAAATTTATCAGCCCAAAACTGCAGAGGATTTTCCGGTAAGTTAATTCATTTACTTTTGTACTATTTATCTTCTAGGATTTTCAAGTTTGACAAACAAAATCTTACACTTGCAATCATTTTTCAGAGATGTTAATTTGGGTATCATCTTCTTGCTATAGTATGGGAAATTCTCCTTGCTATATAGAAGACAGAATCTATGTCACCAATGATGGTTCTCATGGAAGGATAGTTCCTAGGTCGGAAATTAAAGATTTGAGGAGAATTGAAGAAGATTTAGGACTATTGAGGCATGCGATACTGCAAGTTATCTGCCATGGAAAGATAATGAGGACCTCATACAAATGGTGGACACAGATTCAACCATCTTGGAGAGCAAGTATGGGATTCCAAATGAGTTGCTCGACTTTTTAGATCAGCTGAATCCTATCAACGCGTAAGTTGATGAATCAAAGCTGTTTTTGACATATTAAAAATTTTAATTTCTTTACTTTGATTAGTGCTTTCATTTTCTTCAGGGTTGCTGAACAAAGAGTCTTTGATCATCCATTTTTTTGGACTATGAATGAAAGGGTCATTTTCATGGAGAAGTTGCGGTATCTCCTCAAAGGATATGAGCATGAAGATTTATTTCTTCTTTTGCTTGAAGATGTTGGAGATTGGAGAGTCGATGTTGGAGATTGGAGAGTCGTTGTTGCAGGCGCTGTTCAGGCTGGCCGTTTACACTATTCCTATGATTGTGTCTTTAAGTATAAGGAGGGAAGGTATGGGAAAGACATATATTCACTCATTACCTTTGTTATTGCCTGCTTGACTCATTGCATTGATTATGCTGGAAATGCTGCCCCTGATTTTGAGAAAGTGGAAGTTTTACGAGGCCTAATGAAAATTTTTCCAAAGTTGTATACAAAAGTAAGTGGCATCCTCTTAGATTGGGTTGTTCGCTTCTGTTCAGAGAATTTGAATGCTGACAAAAGGTTAGTAAATCCATCTTTCATTGTTTGCTAGTGCTGTCAATACAATACAATACACATCTTTTACATATCACAAATCTTTTACCTTTTATGTAGCAGCACTGACCCAGGCATGAGCACTAGTCTAGCCTCGCCACTGCTGTTTTCAATGAAATTATTAAGTCAGGACATGATGCTTGCAAGAGATGAACTTGTGATGGAATGATGTGTATGTTTTTTCTTCTGTCTCAGTGTAGTCCCTAAAATGTTTTATCTGATGGTCTGTTTGCTATGTATGGGCTTTACATTCTTCTCCGTTTTCATGTACATGCAATTACCTTTTATTGGTAGATGGTTTTGCGTTAATTGATGACTGTTATTCTTCACTGTTAAGACCACCAAGTAGTGCAGATAACGTGATTAATGTTGTGGGACTAAGTGAGGTGGTCATTAGTATGTGTTTCTACTAGGTGGTCATTAATATGATTGTGTGGTCATTAATATTAACGTGATTAATATGTTTCCCTAAAATTCTGGTTCCGCAGCATGTGGTGGTGTGTTCTGGGATCAAGGTGGCAACTGTATCCTCGGTTTGTCGAGGGACTCTTTGATTGCTTCTAAGTTGCTTGCTAAAGATTCTTGCACCTTTCACCCTCCGAGGGTGCTTATTTGGGATTGCTGGGAACTGCTCGGTAGGATCCCTCATGGTGATCTCCAGCACGATTTTAGGGAGTCCAATATGTGTGACTTCCTCTCCAAACTTGGCCATTCTCTTGATGCTGATTTTGTTGTTTTTGATGCTTGCTCTCAGGGCCTTAGTGTTCTCCTTATGGCTGATATGGCTAAAGTTGAATACCCTGGATATGAATTATAGCTCTCTTTATTAATGTCATCTCATATTTCCACCAGTAAATAAAAAAAAAAAAATCCAATTTCAAGCTAATTTGCAAAGTAATCTATAATATTTTTACCGACTTAGAGGGCCCTTTTGGTTGGCAGAAAATATTTACTGAAAATTGTTTTCTCCATTTTCTTACATTTGTTAGCGTGGTCATCTTGGGAAGCGTTTGAAGCTTTGGTGCCTCCGACGGGGACAACTTTGCGAAAAATCCTTGAAATTCAGTGTCCTAAACATAGTGGGTAGATCAAGAAATGGAGTAGAGGTATTAAAAGGTATATAGCGCGAACATACAATGAACTACTTGAAATTATGCCAATCTATTTAGGGCCAAGCCATTTTTCTCTGCTGGTTTATAGTTATTTCACTGAAGAATTAGAATTGGTTGGAATTTATTTTATCATGATAATATAATGCTTGTTGCTGCATGACAGCATAAATTGAATTTTGGGGTTTTAAGACAGTTTTGAAAAACATCAATCTGGTTGTGGCATTATAGGATTGTTTCCTGGGATGAATAGGTGGTTGTGATAAAAGTTTCCTGTTACCAATCCTCAGACCGAAATGTTGCCAACAAGGAATGCGAAGGGACAGATGCAGGCTGAAGTTTCAATGGCAGGAATATTAACAAGGAGAGCAAACATACAGGATTGATAAACTTTGTGTTAAATTTTGGAGACTTTCTATAGAAAATATTTTAAGCGCACAAGTGTTCACTTCCTAGTTTCTACTTTCTTCCCAGGCAGTTGCGATGATAGTGCTGGCCACCCACAAAATTTTACTTTAAATTCTAAAATAAATAAATAAAACAAACACATAGTCCAGTTTATACCATCTACCAATGAGCCTTTTTTTCTTGGCAGCTGATCACATTTTTCTGAAGTTTAAGAGTTGCACCGAACACATTTTTCTTAAAAATGCAATTGGATTTTCTAGTAGTGGTTTTCTATGTACTACAAGGAGCAACAAATTAGTAACAAACCATGCAATGCATTTTATATAGTTAAAAACATACTAAAAACTCCAGTCAGGCAAGTTCATCATGACGGCTGAAAGAAAATAATAATCATAACTTAGTCCTGTCTTTGTTCCTATCTACTCCAAACAAAAGGGAATTAAAAGCAGAATCAGAGCCAATCAACAGCAACCACAACAGCAGCAAGTGTTCCCTAGGGGAGGGGAACTCAACAGTTGATCTGAAGTCACCTGCAAAAAGTGCATAGTTACTTTGGTGGTTCACCAAAAACAAAACAGACACTGGGCAATAGAAGTAAGAAATAGCATAATCCACAAAACAATTAATCTATAAACACACAAATTATTCTTAAGAGTTATTTGATATGAACATTTTGAACAAGCACTTGCAGCAAAAGATGCGCTGGCAAAGTGCACCCAACATTCTGAAAAAAATCTTTTTT